AAAGGAAAGTGTGTGGGGGGGGGGGATGGGGAGGGAGGACGGGACGGGACAGGGAAAACGAAAATTTTTTTGTTTTCCCTCAGGGACCGCCAAGAAAATTAAAAACTTCCCTCTTCTCTAAAGACATTCACATTTAAAAAAAGGCGAAGGGCAATCTTTCATAGAAGGAATCTTAGTTAATACAGAAACGCACGTGCATCCATCCAAACCAGAAAGCTACACTGCAGCTCTCGACCTGCACGTGACTTGCAGGTTCTTCAGGCACAGCTCTTGTACACAGGGAATAAGTTTCAAACGTGAACCAATGGATAACCGGACACGCTGGCATGGGTTGCAAAAATCCCTGAGTTGCCCCTGCAGCTTCAAAACCAGTCCCACAAAGGAGCAGAAGGACCAAAGAGCCACCTGCACCTTCAGCTGCCTTCCGTGAAGTCTGCCTACCGCTCTCCTCTCACTCAGCTGTCCAGGCAGAAGGTGTTTTTTTAGCAGGGTCAGAAATTCCGTCTGTCTCTGAACGAAGAGATCAGTGTCTGCACTTGCATGTGCAGACACGAACAGTTCTGGTTCATACATTCAAGAACATGAATAGGAAGCACACCTAAAATCTCATCGTCCTAAAATATCGCTGTGGAAAATAAACAGTTCCAGATAGCTTTGCTGTCTTTTGGTCCCAAGATTAAATATGGACGTGCCCCCAAACTAGCAACACGAAAACCTAAAATAACAAAAAAACCTGCTAAATAAATAAGATTAAGACATCTGGAAAACCAAAGTCCAGCAGTTCTTCAAGCCTCCCCGGAAATCACAATTTTTTTTTCCTGAAACCTGAATCTGGCCACCTCATTTTTACCATGGGCCTTCGTAAGGTAAACTTTGGTCCTAACACAGACCAAAAAGATGTACTATGTAACTGGGATGGCAAAGAAAATATTGGTTCTTCATTTGTGCTTGACCAAATACAACAGGCTGACACGCAGGATCTCCCATCCTTCCCAAATTTTGGTGACGTTGTACCACAGAGGCTGAAAAACAATCTTACCCTAAGAATGTTACTGGAAAAGATCTGCTGCAAAGGTGGCTTCTGCAAGTTTTTCATCCAATACCCCTACTATTGCCCGAGAAGCAGCGTATCTTCATCTAAAGAACTACAGCTGGCTGCTGCATTGGACCTTTTTTGGTCAAATATTTTACAGCCCAAGCCTTACTATCCAACAGTAAAAACGCTGTAATAATCAGATCACTGGCACCACTACAGAAGCATCCACGCTAAAGAACCAGTTACAGTACTAAAAAATAAAAATAAAAACAAATTCCTTAATATTATCTAAAGTCTTACAACTAAAAGCAGCCCAGTGTATCACGTCCAAGGATCGTAGGTCATACAGCGATGTCCTCCAAATGACAACAGCCATCCCCTATCAAACCACAATGGTTTTCCACTTTAAAGAAAATGTTAATTCTTAATCAGAGCAAGTCTGAGGTTTATTCAGGACATTACTGGATAGAAGCTCAGATAATGAAAACAATGGGATGCAAAAATCACTTCCAGTGCTTCTGCAAAAATCTTACGTAATCCAGTATTTTCTCTACTACATATTTAACATCATAAAAAGAACATGGCTGCTTATACTGCCAACAACCGAGTTTGCTTGTGCAAGACATACCAGTTTACGATATTAAAAATTCCCAATGAGTGACTTGCACTGCAGGGCAAAAAGTACTTGGAAGACACACCGAAAGCATGCATCCAAGATCCTACATACATGAGCAAGGGCCTGAAGACGAAGTATTTGAAAGACATAATTTGCTGCGGAAGAGCTTACAGAAAGCGGACTAAATACACTGTTAAGCGCCAACACTGGTCACTCAACAAATTCAATCCATTAAGACAGAATCAAAGCGTTTAAGTTATGTTCAAACATCATCAGGTAGATACTCATTTTTCACCCATCTAGTTATCGACTCTTCCATCCCTGAAACTGCTGATCACGTTACGTTTACTTGCCCGGAAAGCTTATCTTAACGGTAATATCCTTATCTTCTGATTAGTTATCAAAGGAATATTATACATACTCCCACGATAGACACAACCCAGCACAACGAATATCAGCTTACTTCTCACGATTCATTTGAGTGCCTTGGATGAATTTGAGTACCTTGAGTACTCACAGTTACATTTAAAACCTTCACTAATTACTAATACATTTAAGTAAATGTTGAAGATGTGAAATAATGAGGAGCCACGGGAGAAGAGCTCTACATTTTGGATTAATCAACAGTTTCCTCTGGCATTCATTCTTATCCTGGAAGCTAATAACAGAGCTGCCAGGAGGGTTAAGAATGCAGTAGATAAAATACCTGAGGGCTGCCATCAACTCTTGCCTTACCACAGTAACAACTTCACTATAACAGACCGCGTTGCTTTATCTGATGGTCTTCCAAAATAAAAAAAAAATAAACGTTGTCACATAAACGCGGTGGCGGTAACAGTACGGCTGAGTGGGCAGGATAACCAGATTTAAAAAAAAAAAACCGAAAGAGGGAGGTGAGTTATTCCCAAGGCAACCTTCTGATGCGGGAACCACAAGTTAGTTACCCAACAACGACACGAATTGCACAAAGCACGCTCCGACGAGAAGCCCCGTCCCCCGGTTTAGGTAACGGGATGACGAGAGGCAACGAAACGCAGGGCTCGAGGCCTGCCT